GGCTAGCGTTCGAATTCTGCCTGCTGTTCCAGAATAATATGTGTGGTAAGTTTACCCGAGGAAACCCTCGAGAATATCAACACCAAACTGGCTCGCAAAGCGAAACAGACAAGACGGGCCAGTAGTGCTGGCAGTATAATAAAGAAAAGCGTGAAGTGTAATGTAGTATATTACTAAGCGTTGTATTGCTAATCGTTTTTGTGTTGAACTGGTAATTTTTACGATTTTCTGTTTACAGGGTCTTAGGTCTTCGTTTTCGAGGGTCTTCGTTTTCGTAACACCCGTCTCTTGGGGCATGAATGTGTATACAGATGGATTTTTACTAAATCTCCCTGGATGGAAAACTTAAAACTAAATCAGCGTAGGTTGTTCTGACCCGCCATGAAAAATTCATTCGGTTTTTTTTTTCAGCTTTCCCAATCAATTGAGTGGTACTTCGTACTTAAACTAATAATAAAAGCTACATTTAAAGTAAATCCGATTTGTGTTATGAATTTACTCATGCAATGGAGGAAATATTTGTCAAACCGATTATTTTGAGGCCGTGAAGGTGAAACAATCAAAATGACTGCCACTTGCTGTCTCGCAGTAATTTGCGAAAGAAAAAGGATGTGGCTATGGAACCGAAATCGGTCCCTTTTTAAAAATGCTCACAAACAATAAATGAAAAACGCTTGGTCGCGGTACATGAAACGGCGCGTCTAATTACGGTTGCTTCGATAACTTCAATTTCGCAACTTTCTGTCGACGTTCTACAGCATTTGAACGGCGCTTCTTTCACTCATAACAGTTCTCAATTTAATCTTCCGGCGTACAAACAGAAATGAGCTGTCAAACTCCCGTTTAGAAGCTATTTTTGGCGATTAAAGAATTCGAGAATGCCACTTACGTGTTCGATGGAAACAGAATATGCCTTCCGTGTATCATAGAGGCTTTGTTGAAGCCAGGTTACATCACCGATCGCTGAGGCCATAAGCACGTCATCATCTATGTTCTTTTGGATTTTAAAAGACTGTCTACGTCTCCTTCTTATGACTGTATCACTTGGTTTAGATTTGATTTCAGTAGTGTTATACCCGCGGTGGACCGCCATTTTTAAGAACAGGACTTTCGTTGCTAAGTGTTGCGAACGTCAACTTTTGGAAATACCGGAATGGACTTGTCCTCCATGGACTCGAATGGAGAAACTACTCGTGAACAAGGTACCCACTTCAATTTCACTCGTCCGTGATTCTCGACCCTTAGTCGCTTTTTATTTTAGCATGGGGGGTTGTAAGTGGATTGGGTTTCAATTTTGTCTGCTTTTCTGGGATACGGTAAGGTAATTTACCTCGTAGGGGACAGCTAGACTGCTTTGCAGCCATTTCGGGTGTCATCACGCCAGTCGAATAACTCCCCCCGGAAGGGAGTTATTCGCCTGGCGCGACGACACCGGAAATGGCTGCAAAGCAGTCTAGGGATAACCTTGTTCTATTGTAAATTTATCTGCCTTTAGCAAATTGTTAAACAAATAAATAAAAATAAATAAATATCATCAATAAATCGATTATCACCAAGCATTTATCATGGTAGTGAACAGTCCAAACTGTTTTTAACCGTTGTTTGGTGAACAAGAACTACTTTTCATGGCTACGATATTTGATGTTTACTTTCAGCTTGAGAAGCTAACATTTAATAGATGATCTAATGCCAAGGGGAAAGAAAGACTGAGTAGTGATATTAATTCACTGTTTGCTGGTATGCCATTAAGGTAACCGGTCTTAATGCTCAAATGAAGCATTTGCACTCAATGATTACTAAAACATATAAATTTTTCTCTTTACTGAAGCAGTGCCCCCTCGGTGAAAATTGCTTCCTGGGCTCAAGAGCAAGTACCATAGATCACGTGCTTAAATCAAAACCTTGATAAGACCAAGACTTTTAAATTATGATCCAACCAGGGAATGGCTTTCAAGGTTTGGTCTGTATGGTTTTTAGGATATTTTGTCTTTCTTCTTGGCATGGTTGAAGACTGAACAGTCCATGGAGAACACCAACCACAGTATATCCCTTAGTGGATTCTTAGGACAAAGCAAAAGACTGATGCATTACTTCTGGGACATTCAAAAGGACTCAAAAGGATTTTTGTTTGTTGACTACAGGTGTCTCTCTAAAGGCAACAGGACAAAGCTGGAATGAACCAGGCAGAAGGATTGTCATTTGATGGTCAAGGATCCACACCCTTTTCCCCACTGCTGGCTAGATTTGTCTTTGGTTGCATCATACTCGTAATTATTATTAAAGATTAAAGATACTAATCAAGTTCAACCCCTTAACTGTACTCTGTGGATAGCCAACTGGTAAGCCTCTTATTACATGGGAAGGGGGGGGGAGGGGTAACCAGCCCATGTCTTTTCAAAAAGGCTGTTTTCATACCTTACTAACAACAACAAAATCTGTACATTGATCTGAAAAGCACAATGAAAGAAATGGTTAGGTAATATTATTTTGTTTTCACGAGACAAATATCACCAAGGCATCGTCTTGAAGAAATCACTGCCAACCTCATTTGGTCCACTTCCCAAAGTTAGTAATACAGTTTGATCGTAGGGCCCATTTGTCCCCACTCACACAATTTCATAGAAAATCATAGCAAAAGCTGAGCTGTGCAGGGTGGGGTGGGATGGGTTGACAAGAGCCCCATATGGAAAAAGCTGTCTCACCCCAGTGCACATGTACCACTTTGTTGCAAAAAAAACAATTTCCCTCTTATTGCAAAAATGAGTGAAGACTGTGTACAAAACAAGAAATGTAGTCACTTTTTTCATCAAATTGTGAGTTTCTTGCTCTAAGTTGAAAATAGAAAGGACAAGTTTTCATAGTCTTTTGTGGTTTTCCTACATGTGCCCCTCCATTGAGACCTATTGACATGTAAGTTAAAACAAACTTTACAAATTTTTCAAAACTTAACCAGTGGTCAAATGATTAAATGGTTACTGAATTAGTTGGGTTGGAGTGGACAGGAAAATATTTAGCTCTGGCTCATGATACACAAACCTCACTGCTCTTGGTCCATATATCATGACCTCAAGCCAAATGTTTTGCCATCTGACCTTGCACTCAGTCAATAAGTACATAGGTGGTCTTTTAACACTGGATTTTCTAACAAGCAATTTCAATAAAATTCTTAAACTGGAAATAATTGGAGAGTTTCATGCTTTACAAGGTTTGATAAAGTCTCATTTCAATAACACAAGTTACGTTGAAAAGCACTTGGTGACAAAAAGTCCCAGGTAGGCAAACAGAGTCCCAAATTTTAGCCCTAATAGAAATTCCTATACTCCAAAAATCCAGTGGATTTACGAGGCTTGGTTTCACTTTAGAAAAATGTCCTAGGATCCCCAGAGACCACCACTGGGGGAAGCTACCGATTGACCGACATGTATAATAGAGCAATTTGCTGTTTCTGTGTCACTGCTCACTTCACAGGATGTTTATTACCAGGAGGTACCCAAGAGGTACCAGGAGGTACCCAAGACTCCGGCTCATACGTTTCTCCGTTTTCCTTTCCACCAGAAGATTCCTTAGGACTAGACTCAGGAATCCACTCCCCAGGTTGAAATGTCGTACCAGTGCTCGTAGGCTCTGATCTGTTATCCAGACTCTCGTACAAAGGAGCAGAGGCGTGGCCTATCTGAGCTGCTGCCTGTGATGTTTCCTGCTCCAAAGCTTTCCGTTCTTTATCCTTTTCTTCCACTTGCTTGGCTCTTTCTTGGAGAGTTTGAACCCTCCTCTGTTCGGCTATCAGTTCTTCGTGTGTCGGGGGATATTCCCTTTTCCCTCGGATCCATGCTTCCCACTCAATGGGAATTAAACCCGGAGTGTATTCCATAGGATTCATTTTCGTGATCATCTCCCTCTTTGCCTTTTTCCCCTGTCGTATGGTTTCATAATATTCATTTCCATGTAGATCGGTCCCTACCAGTCTCCTAGTTCGTCCGAAGACATTTAGTAAAGATCGTACCCACTGCATTATATTAAACGTGAATTTTGTCGAGGGAATGCAAGGAGATTCCTAATTTTTTTTTTTTTTTTCAATTCTCGCGCTATAAAACCTCCAGATTTTATATGGAGTTATGTCATCCAAGTATCGTTAAGAAATTGGACAAGTCTGTCCGCCATTTTGAATGAATAGTGATCAGAGAGAACCTGGTAACGATAGCATAGCGGATTCTCGTCACATAATATGCGCACTGTGTTTGTTGTCAGGAGATGCGTCGTTCTAGTAAACATGAGTACAGTTTACATGTTTTGGATGCTAGATCACGAGTTGGCGGTTGAATATTAAACTTCATTACGAAATCGAAGAAAAAAAATAGCACATTCTAATCTAATCATGACCCTGAGATGACCGCTAGAGTATGCGGAAATGGCAAAGTTTTGTACTGTGATCAATTTCTCTGTGCTGTTGACTTATTTCGCAGGTTAGTAATAGTTTTCATTTCTTTCACGTGACATAATTTTTAGCGAGAGAATCACTTGATTCTTTTGGGCTGAAGCCTCACTACGCGCTTCAGGTAGGTGTTAAGTCTATAGCTTTCTTATCTTGCGTAGAAATTGTTTCCACGCACGTCTTAGTCAGATAAAAACTCGCTGTAACTAGTTCAAGTAACATCCTGCTAAGATCTCAATGTTTAACTCATGACGACTAACAAAAGTCAACTGTTTATAACGTCATCACGAATCTTGTTTGGTTACTATCTTAAATTAAGAACTTAAAATACATTTGAAAGTACTTGAAGTGACAAAGTTACTTTACATAAAGTTACATAAAGCTGTCCGACTTTTAGCGCGTAATTTTTAAAATAACATTAAGTACAGAGTTTTGGTGTTCCCAACTTCACTGCTAGTTTCCCCACAGGCAGACAAGCCTATGGGTTTGAGGCCATGTGACATCAGTTATTCGATGTAGTAATTGATCTTCAACGTTAATGGTAATTTGCAGCACCTGATGTGTCAGCTTTATAACTAATTGAATCCTTACCTTCCATCTTCTAAGTAAGCCCCATTGATTGTTAGATACATAGAGTTCAGTTACCTTTGGTTTTTTGTTGTCTCAAATATTTGGGTAAGTTTTTGACAGATGGCCCATTCTAAGCCTCCTAACTGATTCTCCTTCAAATACAACAGAAGTTCACAAAGCTTGCAGCTCAGGACTGAAAGTCTCCACGACATAATCAATTTTTCTCCACTTCCCAACTTTGTTCTCTTCCCATCTTTGGTGCATATTTAATGTTAAGTGATGTGAAAGGTGGGAAAGATGTATAAAATCATTGCATCTACATATCTCTAACCAACTTAAAAGCGTGTCTCAATAATTCTTTGGGCTTTGCTTACAGTTTTGCCATCGACTTTTGATGTGGACAGAAGAGGTTGATCATAAGATTTGAGAAACTTTTCCAGACTTACAATCAATCCATATTTAAGCTTTTGTTTTATTCCTAAAAGACAGCATTGTCAGTGAACCACATCCCCACTAGCGAGCAATAATAAGTCAAACAGGTGTTTAAACCAATTCATTTTCAAGGTATCTGCATTTGACTGAGCAGGCACAGGAAAATCATGTTTCATGGTGGATATTTGTACAGTACTGCTCAGATATATGCTAACCGTGCAGATGCACTTTACACACCCAAACTTGAGTTGCACTTTTTTAGGGGGGGGGGATCAAGGGACAGAGGGAGGTATAGAATTGTATCCATATGTAAAGGAGGATTTTTGTGCGCTAAAAAGGATAACACTAGAAATGTTTACCTCAAGATTCAGCAAACAATTATATTAACACAGCAAAAATGTATCGGCCCCACCCCAAACAGCAAACTTTTCAAGTGCTGAACCTAACTGTTACAGCTTCAGCACCAGTACAACCATTACTGCAGGTAATCAAATCATCTCTCAAATAGTTTGGAATAAATGACTGCAGAGCAAAATAAAGTCTAGATATTTTTTTTTTTTTTATATAAAGCTGATCTTTTGTGGAGTTTTGGATTTCTGGGAATTCATGCTGCTGTTGGCAATGGTAGCAAAGGATCTTGTCAAGCTTGTCCAGCAGGGAAATTTGGAAATATTAGTGAGTATTATACATGTGCTCTTTCTTCAGGCTTTTGAATTAATTGAAGATTAACTTCCAAGGAAGCTTGATGATTAATTGTTTCTATGGGTTTGTCAATTACTAGTAATGACCTAGAGTCTTTTTTTATGATGTCATGAAAGTGAATAGTCAGTCAGAAAGAATGAGTTGTTGTACATGTGTATTCAGTGGTATTAGACCCAACTTTCCTAGCATGCATTAAAATCTTATTCCTGTAGAAAATTAAGTATACTGTGCTATTTTGAGTTTGTGCATGTATTGAGTATTTTGCTAAGAATTGTGTTAATAACTTTACCGGTATTTGCCTTCTTTGCAATTTCTGCACATTTTGTTTTTGTTAAAAAGCTTTGAAGAGTTTTGAATTGGCCATCAACAAGTGTGAGTATGGATAGCCAGTTCAAAGTCTGGAAATACTTTTTAAGTGGCATTTGTACATGTATGTTTTATAGGGGATGGTTTAATATGCCTTAGCACCCAGAGCTCTCAAGTTGATTTGCCGGCAAAGAGTGAGATGCCATGGGCCCCCCTTACCTGCTGGGTTTCAGGGCATGCTCCCCTGGAAAATTGTGAAGAAATGAAGTACATGTAGCAGAGATGTGCATTTTTTTTTTTTGAGCAAGAAATTCCTCCATTGAAAAGTGTTAGTTCAAGCAATTACCCTCTTAGATATCTTGATTAAGAGAATTAGAAGTAAATCAAGAAGTATAATTAATTGTAAATTAGGTAAAAGCAGCCATTTGCTATCAAAAATCAACAGGTTATATCAGAAAGCTTTAATGCATGAGAAAATAATACAGGGGTAGACTGTACATGTATAGTTTCAGCGTGAGAACACGATAGAATTGATTTGTCTCGCACTCAATTCACAATACTTTAGACAAAAATGTTAAACATGTTTTTCATTTGTATGTGCATAAGCATTCTATTTGCATGCCTGACTACCCTGCATCTGAGCATATGAAATGCGTCTGGGTAGTTATTGTAAACATGAGTGGTACTGTACCACTTGTCTCTTTTATTTCTTGGTAAACACATTCATTCTATGGTGTGTAGATATAATTACAAGATAATATAAATGACTTACTGTCTAAGATACTTCAAATCATCTATTTCTCTTATTGTACATGTACCCCTTGTATCACCTGAAAGTGCTACTTATTTAAATAATCATCCACTTTGTATTTTCATTAAACAATCACATGATGAACTTAAAACTTTCAGCTAACCCAGACTGTTCCAGTTGTAACATAAGTGGTCAGTGCCAACATCTTTCATCATGTGTCCCGTGTCCTGCAGGCCAATACCAAAACTTAACAGGACAAACGGTTTGCATTAAATGTGAGGAAGGCAAATATCAAGACAAATCTGGAAAAGAAACTTGTATTCCTTGCCCTTTGGGATATTTTCAGAGCAAGAAAGGACAAAAATCTTGCCTCAAGTGTGTGAAAGGCCACTTTCAGGACACAACTGGAGAAGCAACATGCAAGTTATGTCAGGAAGGATTCTTCTCTGGGTGAGTCATTTATTGCACCTGAGTGTCAATGGGTTCAGATGATGCCTTAATAACAATAGGTGAAAACACATCCTTAAGGATTTATTGTGCTTTTATTCTTTTCATCACAGTACTGCCTATTGAATATCTTTGACAAGAGAGAAATTGTAGACTTTTTGTTTGTCAGGATACTGAAGAACTGAATGGACCAAGTCGGCTAATGGCTGACAACTTGAAGAAAAGCATATCAAATAGATCCTTTTTTTAAATAACATATTAATTATAATAATAATAATGAAAATAATAATAATAACTTTTAGCACTCTTATCCTCTGTTCAAGGTGCTTTACATCTCTGTGCAGGGGACTTTATCAGACTGCCAGTGGCAGTTACAATCAACAAAGGCAACTTTTTTTCAACAGATGCCCCCTCCCCCCAATTGCCAGTAAACAGGCCAGACCACATCACAGTAATCTCGTGATGTGGGTTATTTAACATCCCCTGCCTAATCAAATTATCTAATTAATAGATGTAGGAGACGGGAAGTACGGTTTATTTGTCCTTATCCGAGAAGGCTAGAATGTCTATCCATTTCTTGATTAAAGAAAGGTAGCACGTTCTCCTCAGTTATTTTAAGACCATGAGTGTTGGTCTGGCCGGGGCTCGAACCCTCGAACTCCCACACAACAGTCTAGCACTTTAACTATTATTGAGCTAACTGGTTCTCCCCAGGCACATACACCACACAAGTCATGACTTACAGCCCCTGTACATATGGTCTAGGTGATATAAACTACTGGCTACAGTTGTTCAAAGGGTATCTATCTATTGTATCTACTAAATAAATCTCCTCCCAGTAGATAGCAATATCCCTTTTTGAAAGCTAAATATTATGTGGCTTCTTCAGTGTCTATAGCGTTTTCCTTATTTCCTTTTATTGTAGCTCAAATGGGAGTAAACGATGTATTACATGTGGCTTTGGGAAATACTGCAAGTAAGTACTGATAATTATTTTTTTGTCTTGTTATGTGTATCAATTATTCACAGAACTGGAAGTGAATAACTGTTTTGGTATTAATACCTCACAGAAACCAAAAAAAAATAGCTCAATTCTGTCAAGATACCAAAAATATATTGGATTTTAAGATGTTGAAGCACAATTTCACTCTTTAGCTATGTCAGGGTCCGAAATTAACTTTTTTAGGCGGGCGCCAACTGGTGACTGGAAATTTTTTTTCAGTCGCCATATGGAAAAATGTGGTCGCCAAAAAGTGACAATAAAATTTTTCCTTTGCAGCGAAACACAAACCACACATTTAATGGATTTGGCTGAAAATCAAAGTTATTGTTTGACTGTATAATTATCGTAGCATGAAAATGATAGTTAATCGCCCGCTGGCGACCGGTTGTGAAATTCTGGTCGCCAGTGCAAAGTGTTTAGTTGCATTGGCGACCAGGAAAGCGCAACTTTGGACCCTGTATGTTGAGGTGAATAGTGCTGGCTAATCACTTCCAGACTAGCCATTCAGTGTATATGAAAAGCATTATTCACCTGTGTGGTGTATACTACAGTGTAATTTTTGATATGTATACACTGTATAGACTTCACTGTTGATTGGAATGCATGTTATTAAATTTCCACCTCTGACTATTACATGCAATCATTGTGGGCTCTTTTCAGTATTCTTCATTTTCAACCATGTGACCAAATTTTGTTGCATAACTTGCATCCACCATGCTGGTGAACATCCAGAAAGTCAATATGGCTTCTGCAGACACATAATTATTTGAGCGTAAATGTTACTTTTATAATTATCGAAGTCATACGAGTCCTGCCAAGGCAAGATACATGTAGTTCTTATTTGTGGATTTGATCCATACAGTATATGTTAAAAAGTGGAAGTGTAGCAAGGATTTAGTGGATTTGGTGCTCCAGACCTTGTGGATTACTGGGAGGCAAATGAAAGCATGCAAGTCCATGGACTTGTACAAATTTTTCATCTCTGGTTGCAGTGTTCAATCTAGGCCATGTTTTTACATCAGTGACACAGAATAGTCTTTTCCGACATAAAATGAAATGATCATGGGTCCTACTGATGCAAAAAAAACAAACAAACAAACAAAACCAATTGAAATTAACCAGTCACCTTGATTATATGTACTTCCAAACCTGCAGGCAATGATAAAAAGTAAATTAAAACAAATAATGTGTGCTTACTAGCCTGAAATGAGTGTGCAAAATTGGCTGGCATTTCAGGTTATGTGTGTATGAGTACATTTTGTGTCAGGCAATACTAGCAATTCCAAGAGGGACTGGAGCCAACTTCAATGTTTTGTACATGTTGCGTTATCAATCAAGGATGGTGAAGAGGTCACTTTGGCTACAGTATGGTGAAGAAAAACTTTTCCATTGAAAGCAAACATGGTTTGAAATTGAAATGGTTACTTGTGATCAGAAAGTATGAAATGAAAAAAATGTTTGGTGTTTTTTGGCATCTTTTGTTCAGGATATTGGCCTGTCATTTTTTAAAATTATAAGAATTCAGCTAGATGATGATAATTTGACTGTTTACTGCAATAAACAAATCAAAACTGTGAAAAGCATGAAAACTATAACATATTGGTGATAGTTTGGACGATGTTAGTTTTTCAAAGTTTCAATGTCATGGTTTGACCCAGACCATTTTTAAAATGACCCAATTAAAAATACCCTGTGGGACACATGACCCACTTTGACTAAATTCTAGACTGAACACTGTGGTTGCTGGTTAATAACAATGCTTATCAAACCAGTAGCTGGAACTGACAAAGTTGTTATTACAGCAAGAGTAAATGGAGCTTTCTTCTGCAAACGGGATTAGTACTTTGGGTGAGCAGGCATGTGCTACCCCAGATCTTGACAGGGCAAGCATTCAAGTAACTTCCAAAGAAGAACAGGCCAACTTTTTTTCAAAACGTTTTGAAATAAGGGAAAAAACCTCCTGTATTGCACCTCACAATGCTGCATTTGTGCCTGATGAGACCAGACCTCTGCCAAAGCCATTAACAGAGCTATAAATTATATGTACCATGATCAGCATTTAGATTTTGACTTTCAGTATCTACTTCAAAAGTCAGAAAAAGCATTAATTTTTTTTAATGAGCTGGAGATGAGTGCTAAAGAAGCAGAAACCATTGAAGAATTGACAAGAGGTCAGTCAAACGTTAAAGTTGGGTTTGAGCAGAGAGCAGGACGAGTGACTGCTTCAAAGTTTAAAAAAGCTTCTGAAACAAATCCAGACAAACCAGCCTCATAAAGGTGATTCACTTTCCCAGTCCTGGCCATTTCTCAAATGCAGCAAGAATGGGACCTATCAAGTGAAAGTGGAAAGGAAGAAGCTTAATATGAATATTTTCGATTGCTGATCACCAACTTTTCTGTGGCTATGTGGCGAACAATGGGCTTCACCTAAATGAAAAATTAATTTTAATGACCTTTTTTAGGGGCTTGGGTTGATCGGTGTAGGTTTTTGTGAGTGCTGTAAAGGACTCTGAAATTAAACTAATGTCCTTACATGTACAAGGAGGCTCTGCAAGTCACTTCTGCAAAAGACAGCAGTTTCTGTCTCAAGTATGATGAAAGTTGCGTTGCTCTCGAACATGTATCCTAAAATTGTCTGTGATCTAAATAAACTCAGAAGATTAAATTGATATCTTTGTGCAGCTATGTCAGAGGTATGTTAGGCAGCTACATGTATGTAACTTGTAGTTTTTCAGTAATTGATAGTATACAGTGTACATGTAGATGTCCAATAACCTCTGAACTCCTCAATGAAAAATAAGGGTGAGGTTGATGCCATAGATTCCCTAGTTAGGTGGAGTCAAGGACTTAAGTCTAGGGAAATGGATTGCCATGACAACACCATTAGTGGCATCCAATCATTTGATGTTGCTCTTCCAAACGTGTTAAAAAAAAATAGTCACAATCTACATATGCCACCGCCAAGTTAGCCCAATGGATAGTGCACTGGACTGTTGTGCAGGAGGTCGAGGGTTCGAGCTCCGGCTAGATCAACACTCAAGGTCTTAAAATAATTGAGAAGAATTTGCTGCCTTTCTACAACATCAAGAAATGGTTAGATATTCTAGTCTTCTCAGATAGGGAAGAATAAATGGAGGTCCCGTCTCCTGCAGGGTTGGGTACGTTAATTTCCCACACACGAGATTACTGTGTGATGGATGTCCTCCCCTGGGGCAGGATGGTGGGTTTGTTGTGAAGGCCGTAAGTTGGATAACTCATTGGGTTAATTAGGTCACCTTCGTTAAATAAAGAATATTGTTTGTATTGTATTGTACTGTATTGTATGCAATCCTGAAAAATGTGATCAGAGGTAAATTACTAGCAAAACAATCTTACCCCATGTGAGAAAGAGTCTGGTGTAATATCCGTTCCACCTGTACAAAAGTATGGTTGTATCTCAAATATTTTACTCTATACTTCAGTAAGGTATTGATCAATATTTAAATAATATTAACAAATGACTTTGCAATTTCTGTTAAAGTAGTCTAATAGAAATAGATCAGTGTCATATCAATTATACTAAATGTCAGTATAAATGTTTTGGAAGATAATTTTTTAGAGGAAAACAAGTGCCATGTGCTCTATAGCTTACTCTTTTTTTTGTATTTTTTATAAAGGGTATTTCACATGCTCAAAATTTAAATACAATTATTTATGTGATGGTGAAGGTGCTGATGCTTTTCACATGTTATTATTGCTTTGTAGTACTTAGTAGTTATTGTTACAGTACTGTTAGAAGTTTGGGACAGTATAGCAGTAGCTACTAGTTGCCATGAGTGAAATAATAATTGTTTCAATACTACAGTTTGATGGATAAGCAACCAAATTAATGTTTCCTCAGAAGTGACTTGTAACTCATTTGTTTCACTGTTCTTTTTTTCTATTAAAAATGAAACAAACAAACAAAAAACAAAAGCACCACAGGCTGTACCAAGTGTTTTGCTTGCCCACCTGGCCAAGAGGCAGGTCATATGGGTGCAGTAAATTGTACATATTGTCCAAAAGGTATGTGGTTTCTTAATTTGCCTTTTTTTTCTTTTTTGTTTTTGTTGTGAGTTCTTGTTGTTGTTTGCTTATTTATGATGAAACTGAGATAACTGTATGTAAAAGTCTCCCTGTCCTCAGAGCCACTGAGCCACACAATTTACTGACAGAAATCACACAATTTACATTTTTTTTATTGCACCCTATCAGAAGGCCTGTCATGATAATAATTTATTTTGAGTCTTGTTATTATTTACCATAACATTGATAAAAAATAAATAAATTTATGTTCTTTCAGGTTCATTCAAAGCCTCCTCAGGCTCCAAGGTTTGCCAGTCTTGTCAGGATGGATATTATCAATTAAAAACTGGACAAACATCTTGTGTAGAGTGCCCAGTAAGATATTACTGTCCTGTAAGTCAACCATGTTTTTCTCTCATCTGTCATTTATGACACAACAGTAGCCTTCAGTTGCTCAAAAGCTTGGGCACATATCTTTCTAGATGTGAATTTTCTGTTCCTGTTAAAAGTGAACAGTTTCTGTAGAGCTTATTAAGGACAGAGAATCAAGCAGGTTTTGCACCAAATCATGGTCAACTAACATCTTCAAAATGTTCTTTTCATCATGAAAGCAGAGTATTTAGGAAATACTCACCATGAGAAATATTTGTTGAGTGAAATGTTGATTTTTAAGTTGTTTGTGGTGCTGTTTTTGAACTATCTTCTTAATATGTAACAATGGTGTAATGCTCTTCCATCTTGAATTACACTTAATTGAACAATGAATGTCATTACCTCTATATTGGAGCACAGGCATTACAGGCATCCCAAGCATACTGTGTGTGATTTCAGGGTTTAAAGGCAATAGGAGTAGTATGAGCCAAAATGTCCTTGCTATGAAATCAATCCCTTTGTCCATTGGTATAAATTATTCTTTAGTTACGGAAGTCGATATTCCCTGAATATTGCACAATTATAAGAACAAATTTAGATTGGATTTTAGGCATTCACATGTGCTGTTAAAGTTCATGTTAGCTCTACAATCATAGACAGAACACGTGGGCTGCCTGTGATTCAGAACCATGTGTTTTAAAAATTGGGGAATTAGAACATTGTCACAGTTGAAAAATTACTTTGAGTTCTCAAGTTTGTTGGGGCATATTCAGCCATGTGATGCATTAAGAGCATCCACTAGCAGGCAAAAATGTTTGATAGATTATCTTGCTGTCAATTGAACATGCATGAACAACATCTTCCAAACAGTTTTTAAGGAGGGAAGGTATTTATTAGATGAGAAGAAATATTATATATACAAGGCTAAAAAGTTATTAAAAAGGTTAAAACCAAACGTTTTTGGCTGGTTGCCATCATCAGGGTTGAAGTTGTTGACCGTCTGTACATACATATATATCTTATGTGATTCCCGATATGAGATATATATGTATGATACTTAATGGATAATTACTGAGGCATATGGTATTAAGAGAAATATTGCAGCCAGCTGAGGCCTATGGTCTCAGCTGGCTGCAATATTTCTCATAATGCCATGTGCTGAAGTAATTATCAATTATAATTATTGATCCCCATGAAATCCTATTGTTCTGTGTCTGTGTTGGATCTTCGATTTTAGTTACACCTATGTGTGATAATTGTGATGCTCATTGCTACTGTTCTTTGTTGGGATTAATATATCTTAGATTTTAATTGTGCCGAGGGTTGTTATTGTAGCTCGTTGTTGTAGTTGTTCAAAACAGTTCTAATGATGGAATTAATTTGTGCAAGGTGTGTAACACTGCTAATTTGCATACTTTATAAGCCAGAGAATTCAGTCATTTTACTCAGTGGGAACCTGGGTTTGGAAAGAGGATGGATTCATCTGAAGACGAAGGATTATTTATTACACAGAGCTCTATGAAGGCAGATATTTCAGCAGAAATCGAAGATAATGTAGTGTAATGTTTGGACATTTCTGTCAGTGCTTTAATTCTTTATTGACTTCTAAAGGCAGCATTTCCATTTTCTTTTTTTAATAGAGCAAAGATTTAGAATGCCAATTACAGCTTCAGAATGCGAGAAATTTGACAAAAGTTGGGTTTCAGACACCAGCCGCCCGAAATGGGTGTGGGTTTTGAAAGTCTTTGAGGAGTGGAAGAAGCAATATTTTTAATAATTGTAACCTGCACACTACAATATTTTTAATATTGCAGCCTGCGCACTGCAATATTTTTGATATTGCAGCATGGCATGCTTATTTAGCGTGTTTAATTATATTACCCCTGATAATTTCCCTGCTAACAAAAAGGACCACCTCGGTTTTCCTCATACAGTTGTTTTGTCATCTTAAAGACTACAATGGTTAATTTAATGCAGAGAGAGAACAATAGAATTTCATGAGAATCAGTAATTAAAATATATATATGTATATATAAGATATATATGTATGTACAGACGGTCAACACCTTCAACCCTGATGATGGCAAACAGCCGAAAACATTTGTTTTCAACCTTTTTAATAACTTTTTAGCCCTGTATATATAATATTTCTTATCAAGCGAACATTATGGACATAGACGAGAAGAGTTCCCATTAAAAGATCATTAACCCTGTAAATTCCATAAGTGACCAAGACAGACTAAATTCTGCAAACTAACATTATAAGAATTGTATGGGGATGGTAAGGAGAATTACTAATGAGATCCTAGGGATGAAAGGGTTAGATCCCATGCTAGATTTGATTAAAAAAAAAAGAAAAGTCATAGTTGCATTGGTGGGTATTGAAAGAGGCCAGAGGTGAGGAGTTGATGCCTCTTGTGGATTGAACTAACTGAAAATGATAATTGATATCATGAATGTATTTCTTCACTGCCATATATTGAATGCTTTTATTGCATGTGTTTTAGTGGCCAAGCTCACCACCATCGCCTTGTGATAAGGAGCAGATTTGCCCAGCAGGCAGTATGACACCACAAGAGGACTGTAAAGGATTGTTAACTAGAAATAATGAAACTGAGGTACAGAAATTGTTTGATGGCAATGTGAGTTCAATCATCCCTCAAGCTGAGTGGACCACATGAAAAAAGCTTGCATCCATTTCCATGGCATAAAATGACTCAAATATAGTTTGTCCTCCCTGGATGGGATGCATATGGTTCACCCACCCCTCCCCCCCCCAGCTTTCCATCAGACTCTTCTGGTAGTTTGCTTACACCCATAATGTGAGGGTGAAGTGTTTTGTGCAAGAAAACAGCACCCTTAACCCAGCTTCTATTCATAAGTAAGAATGGCTTCAATTTATTTGATTGTTAGACTGGCTCACTTACTATAAGCACTGGTGTACAACCTGCACTTGCAGATAAGCTGCACCTTGACTTTAAAATTTTGGAAAAAATACTTTAAAAAGGAATCACCTGCAGAGTGTTGAGAAAGTTGCTCTATTTTGGAAATTCATTGAACATCCACACATGTAAATTAAAGTCACAAAATTCAACTTTCCAAGCAGAGAATACTTTTAATCTTTATCCATATCTTTAGCTGTAATATTATAGGCATGATATCTACTCACATGGACTTTCAGTGTATTTTTTATCTTACTGGTATTATTCAAACGGTATTTTTTCATTCCTGTCAGATTTTCACAGCTTAAATGCCAGTGTTTAATTGGTGCATGCATGTCAGTTTGATGATGCAATCAAATCTACCAGAATATTTGCCTCTGATAGTTCCTTGCTACATGTGTGACATTAGCCATTGAATACACTGCCTAAATGGTTTAGAAACAATCCATTCCTATATTTTCTTGTTCCTCTGTGTATTTCATTTACAGGAATGTGAAATGAGCGCAATTGTTTATGCTGTCATTGCTGTATCACTAGCAGGTACCAAAATTATTGGACAACTACAGGTCATTCCTGGAACTTAAGGCATTTGCATGTATACCAGTTCCCCATTTCCCTTTGAGGTTTCTGTTATAGTTACAAGTGGCGAACAAAAATATATAAAAAAATTGTTTTAGATGATTTGAGAAAGACTCATTAAAAACTTCTTATCTCTTGTGTGCGTGCGTGCGTGCGTGTGTGTGTGTGAGAGAGAGAGAGAGAGAGAGAGAGAAAAAAACTGGGAATGAATATTTTTTGTGTTAAAAGGGAAGATGGGGGTGGGGTCTTCAAATCAATCAGTCGGTCATTGTTTACATTTTGGATTTTGATCGCACTCCCCTTCCAGGGAGGAATAAGACCCATCCCCGCAAGATAAACTAGTGCTGACATCCAGGTGTTCATAACTCAACATGATGAAAACCTATTACCTGCCTTTTTTGTTTATTTAGTGGTTGTGGCAGCTATTGGTTTTGTGATACTCAGAAAATACAGAAGGTAAGATTATCCTCTTGGTATGCAGCAGAGGTATTGAGCTCAGCGTAGTATTGTTACGCAGAGCGTCGCGTGACTGCTATTACACCTAAAGTGTTTTTGTTTGTGTCACGCATGCTCTTTCGAGCTGTCTTTACATTGTAGTAAATACCTATCCCTTTGACTTTTGCAGAAATAATGAAACAAAACAGCGATTGCTAGAAAGACAACACCCAGTTTACACTGGTTGGTAAATGTGGAATTTCACAGCCCGACAAGAGAGATCATTGGCTCAATGGTTGAATTTCTTGCCTACATACACATTGTGGCCCAGTGATGGGTAAATGTAACCGCATTAAATGTAGCTCCACAGAGTATTAACGAAAACCCTCTGTACATAGCGCAAGTTCATCCAGGAAACATAGCTAATTACCAGTACGAGTAAACATGTAATGAGGCTTATGTTTTGAGTCTCCATATTTTTATCTTAGTCGTTACCATGGCAATATAATCTAATACCAGGCACTCCAATTGTTGGCCTAAATTCCTTAATATTTTTACTATTGTGCAGTGTCTTTATTATTTCCTACCTTATGGCAAAAAGATATAGCCTGAAATGCACATAGCAGCTAAAACGTGTCTTAAAACTTTGTGGAGCCTCTTTAACTCGAAAGCCATTAGTGTGGGGGATTAATTATTAGGAATAATGTTTTGTATAAATTAGAAAAGTGATGGTGTTGAGAAAACGATTCTTGCATTAATGCTCTTTTCACACAAAAATCTCGTCAAAAAGGGACAGGAAAAAATGTAATTAGGTAGTTAGCTTTTCATAAAATATCCCTGGATGTTGTGCAAATTCCGCTAACGTGTCATCATTACTCCTTTCGACTACAGTTGCATTTTAGTTTAGTTGGCATTTGCTCTGTAAAAACCACTGGCGCGATAGGTTTTTGAAAACCGTGGTATGGAAAAATCAGTTAATAATTTTAGTTCGAATTTGCGAGGTAATGGTTGGCTAATTTTGTTACCGCCGTTCCTCGTTGATCCTGCCGGCTGCGAAGTTTTAGCTACTACAGGGCACGATAGCATTTGGCTCTGTCCACGTTTTACCAGAGAAAGTTGAAAACGCTTGAAAGTTCATTTAGCGGTTAGCTAGGTCTATCGGGAGTGACTAAACCGTTCTAAACGGAGCTTTCCTTAAACGCCCACCTTATTATTTGTTTATATTTTTAGACGAGATAGCGAGGCACTCTTTATGCGCATGCTCAAGGATGCAGTCAAGTAGTTTGAGAGAAGGTAACTAGACACTCGTCATCCGCATGCGCAAAGATGTTTTTCTGGACAGTTTATTGCGTTTTAAATTTGTCTCGGTTTTTGTGGACAGAGAACATTTCCTCCGTGCTCTAGCTTGAACAGAAAGATTTGCGTAGTGAAAATATTTGTTTTCGAATTTTTCCAGCCTAGTAGGGCAAGGCTGTAGTCCACAGTAAAACTGTCCACCTTTACATGTAAGAGCGTTTACGGCCAGTGGATGTCGTTATAGGAATTCAATTTGTTACTGCAACAAAAGTTTTATGGTGACCTAGGGAGGAACATTTCAAGATTTAACAACATATTGGTGACAAATATTTATTTTGATAGCTACTTTGTCGGTGTGTTGTAAACAACAAACTGCGACAGTTAGCATACAAACATACAGAAAATTACGAGATTCGCGCGTTTTGTTTAATAGGATTAATTCACTTCCATTCATTCTATTTTTTGTCTCATTTTCATCTTCATTTGTAATTGGTTAGTTACCGAATAATACGAACAGACAAGTAAGAATCAGCTTTTTCTCTCTCTTATTCAAACTTTTTAGTTTAGATTTAAGATATTTCTCGGTCAATTTCAGTATCTGAGTAAATACACACCTACCCCTCCCTTAACCCAATAACAGTGAACTAATAACAAGTCTCTGTTAATGTTGGTTGGATAGGGGAGGGGTAGGTGCGAAGTTACTTAGATACTGAGATTGATCCATATTTTCAGACTTGGCGTTTTTTCTGAATATGGCAGGTCCGTTGTTCACAATTCGCTTTGTAGAAAATAAATAGGAATCTATGTCATAGAGATGTTTTGTTTTTCAATAAATTGTGCGTCTGTGGGTGATAGAATTATGTCTTGAACTGTTGTGACGTTAATCGTACTTTAACTGCAGGCGTAGCATAAGGGCGAGTTGGGATCGGGATCCCCTCCTCTGCCCTTTAGCTTCTCACTTAAAAAAAAAGAAAAGAACAAGTTGCTATTAATTTTTAAACTCACCATCTGGGGATAACACTTTCTTTTTCATTTTAGCACGGTTAACACCTTCCAAGGACTGTGTGTGTAAACTGTTGTGTTCGCTTAAGTTATTTAGTTTCTCGGGGTGAAACTCGCAAAGTATTCTGGACCATAAGACATGGCGTTGTTCGCTGTGGTCCAAAAGAATATAAACCGGTTATATTCTCATGTGTAGTCTCATTCCTAGCTTTCGTTATCCGCACTGAATTTATAATCAAGAAACTTGTTAGGAAAGCACGTAGCTTGCTAAGCTGTTCCACCCTAGATACCCCCTTTCTCTGGAGCTTTTCTGTTCATCTCATTGTTATGGGAACACACGTGCAGGACC